ACCTACACAGAGCCTCTCAGCACTGAGGATGGATGGCCAAACAGAGCAATCAAACTTCCTGCAAAGGGCCTGTCAGAAAATTCAGGAGAAAAAGGACAGGAAGAGAGAAATCTCAAAAAGTAGTAGCACCAGTGGTCATTCAACTTAAGAAAGCAAAATTCAGTCACTGACAAGCAAGTAAATGCAAATAATAAAAGAAATGCCATTTTTCTGCCTATCCAAATAACAAAGACTTTTAATATGACATCCAATGTTTTCAGTGGTGTGAGGAAACAGGTAAGCACTCTCAAAAATCACTGGGAGAGTATAAATTATTAGAGGCTTTTGATGATGGGCATTTTTGTCAAGAACCTCAAACTTCATACACTTTGACTTAGTAATTTCATTTCTAAGATGTTATTCTATGAGAAAATCAGAGATGTAGACAAAGATGAATATTCCAAGGGTTGGGGCTGGTGGAGTAGCTCAAGTGATAGAGCAGGTGCTTAGCAAGCATGAGGCCCTGAGTTCAAACCCCAGTATGTCACCCCCCAAAAAAGGTATTTAAATTCCCACATCATTTTTAATAAACAAAAAGTAGGCATAAACTACATGCCTAAAGGATTAAAAACAAGAACAGTCCAAACATATGCTGGAATGATGAACTTTTAAAGTAGATTTTTTGGGGGCATGGCTTAAGTGGTAGAGTGCCTGCTACAAAGGCAACCCTGAGTTCAAACTCCAGTATGACAAAAACAAAACACCCACAAGCACTTTTTGCTTTCCCAGGTGTAGACAGGAAAAGGGTCACGTTGCCCATTTCTTAGCTGTTTCTTTTGAGGTTAATAATGACCTTCCTTTTTTTTGTGGGGTTTGGACTCAGGGCCTCACAGTTGCTAGGCACCTGCTCTACCACTTGAGCCACTTGGCCAGCCCTTTTTTTGTCATGGGTTTTTTTTCCAGATAGGGTCTCAGGAACAATTTGCCCAGGCCTGGCTTCAAACTGCAATCCTCCTGATCTCTACCTTCTGAGTAGCTAGGATTACAGGCATGAGCCACCAGCGCCCAGCAATAATGATCTTTATGGCTTGATTTGCCCCATCAGGAGAACCAACATCTATTATCTCTTTTGAACTTTAGAATGACACTGCGTAATTGTTTGTTGTTATTCCCACATTGTAGATGAGAAAACTGAGGATTACCAAGAAGTGACTTATTCCTACCAACACTAACACTTACTGAATCCTACAAAATGTTAGTCTAGTATCTTTCACACATCATTTTATTCAACAAAATTTTACAAATATTTAAGAAATGTGGAAGACCCAACATTAAGTGCCAAAGAAACAGCACTAAACAGGCCACTGCTGATTAAATATGTACTGAATGCATTAATATTAATGTCTCCAACATTATTATGCCCATTTTGTGGATGTACAAACTGAGGCCCAGAAAGCTTAAGTGACTTGCTCCAGGAATGGCTTCAGAGTCAAAGATCACATACTCTCACCACTCCTAATGACTGTCTAAGCTGCATTATCATCTGGCCATCACCACACTTTACAGACCAGTCCCTGAGGAAGGCAGGGAAGGGTTGCCTGTATTTATGAGCTAACTTTTGCACCAAGCCAACTGGTAAGAATGGTGGGAGACGGGGTAGGGGGATTGCTACTACAGGGGTAGAGACAGTGAACAGTCAGAGGAGACACACTCTCAGCACGTGCGAAGGGTCAAAGTCACCCAGAAACAGTATCAGGCAGAAGAAAAAAGGGATGAGGAAGGCGTACATTGCCAGCTGACCCTCCTGGCTCATCAGGAACATTAACAAATAAATAAGTGACTTGGAATCATCTTCTGGAAAGGCAGAACCACCACATCCTGTATTGCTTTTACCAACATTAAAACAGCCCCGTAAATGAAGTGGTAACATTTCCAGCCTGCAAAATGAAAATGCCTTTGCCTGCACACCTTTCACCTGGAAAACACTCTGGGTAGCGTTCATTTCAGCTATCCAGGAGAAATGATTACCTGTCCTGATGCTTATGGCCAAAGCCTCCAAGGGAGAAAGGCATATGTGAGGGACTCAGGGACTGTGAAGACCAGCTGGGCACCTCCCCAAAGCCATTGCCAGGAGAAAAAGTACAAAGGCTCAAACCTGTTCTGAAGCCCTGAGCCCACCCAGCCCTGGGATGGCCTGACCCCAATCTCATAACCACTCTGCAGCCGGACTCACACCTGGGACCAACTCCTTTCTTAGGGAGCCAAATGATCCCAGCACAGAACCAACTGGTTTCCAACCTCCAGATGAAAGAATTCCAGTGCAAAAGAACCTCCCCAACACAGCAGTTTGCAGAGCACACAGCCAGCGTGCAACAAAGCCTCTTCAGAAGCCATTTAAACCAGACAAATTCACCCAAAGTCAGACTCAAGTGGCTCCCCAGAGAACCCTGGCTGTCCGTCTACATGAAAATGCCAAAGGGAACAGAGCTCATACTTGCTACCCCAGAAGCCCCCACCCACCTTCCCATCCCTGTCCTGGTCCACTCACTGAGGCTGATGTCTCTGCACTTACCCCAGCCCCAACAAGAGGCTTGGTAGCCAGTCGGGAGGGGTTCCATGGAGTGGGGATTCACCTGTCTTTGCACCTAAGCCAAGCCAAAGGCAGCCCATTTCACCCACCTAGACTCAACAGCACAAACACCCACATGCAAATAGGAGGTATCTCTCCACTCACCCAGATTTGACCACAAGATGGGGGGAGGGAGCACCACAGTTGGTGTTACTCCAAGTCAGATAACCCTGGGGACTGCCCCAGCAAAATATCTGCTCATTCATCCCAGCAGAAGCTGGCAAATCTATTCCTGAGCAAAGCAACAAATCAGGAGACCCCAATTCTAGCAAAGCCTGTTTCAGCTTTAAGGCTGGGCAAAAAGGATTTCAAACCCCATCTCTCTGCCTGTCCAATGGAAATCTGTCCTCCCTTCCTGTGCCAGAGAAGCCATCAAGCCAGATTTTGTTTATATAAAATTAATAAGACAATTGCACACCAGTGAAATTCAGCTCCAATCACTACCAGCTACCGTTTACCATGTTTCCAGAAATATGCTTGTAGTTTCTCTCCCAACCCCCATTCTGCCCCCCCTTCAGCATGTAGCAAGGCTGACCTGAGGCTAGGCTGGGCAGGACCCAAGGGAGGTCCTCTTGGCCATGCCTGGACCTCCAGCCAGGGTTGCCAGTCAAGCACTTGCCAGGCTTCTTGGTGCAGCTTCCCGCCAGAGGAAGGTAAACATGACATGCATGCCGCCTGCTCCCAGGAGGGTAGACACACTCAGAGGCTGGACTGCCTGCTGACTCTCCTGCTCCCGGACAAGTACCACATGCACACAAAACCGGGTACGTACACGAGCCCCCGCATGCGGGTGCAGAGGGTCCGGACCCCCGCCAAAGAAAGCGTAGAGAAGGGCATGTTCCTTGGGGGAGAGAGCCGGAGATGGGGGCTGCGCAGAGGGAGGAAGGCAGCAAACCGGGTGGCCTGCCACCCAGACAATAACAAAGATGGGAAGCGAGATTTTCAAAGACGCAGTGGTTGCACCCAGCACTGAGCTCTGGCCTGGCTGCATCTTCCTGTCAAGGCACGCCTGGTCCCCTGGGGCACCAAGGCCATCTGAGAAAGGGTCCTGCCTTAGGCTGGGCTTGGCAGCTGGGGCAGGAAGCCCGCTGCAGCAGTGCTGGGGATCCACTGGAGAGAGCAGCTATGGGCTGATGGAAATGACAGGTCTAGCAATTTTACTGCGATGCGGGAGGGGCACTCTCTGGGAAGATGCTAGGGGTCAGTTAAACAGTCACTCCACCTTGGGCAGGAGTTAGGCTAGAACTTGTACTCTTTTCCTGCTGGAACCTCTGAGAAGGGGAGAGACATTGTCATTCTACCTACGCCTTCCCTACAGGGAGTGCCAACTCACCAATCGTACACACGGAGCACAGCCCTGGGAAGACAGATGCCAGTGGCCTGAGATGTTGGGGCTGAATGCTGAAAAGCCTCCTTGGTGCCTGCCCCTTCTTTCACCTCCACGACACGTTCTAACTGGCACAGGAATCTATCACTGTGCCTGTGCCTAAGCGGGAAGGTGCCTGTGGCTGGCACCAGTCATGGAGAACCTGGACCCCAGAGGCTGTGTCCGCCCAATGCCCCCGCATGGACAGGACGGCTTGCCCTTGCGAGCTGAAGCCTGCTCATTGCCGATGACTCCCAACAGGCTGAACTACCTCCTCCCTCTCCTCCTCTCTGCCCCACAAGCCACCTCCCCCTGGAATTTCCACACCTGCTCCCGGCTTGCCCAGGAGAAGGAACATGGAGCAAGAGACACCCCTGGGAGACAGAAGAGAGGGAGGGACTCAGCTGTCCAGGCTGGAGAGGGAAGGGCTTTCTGCCCGGCCGCAGGCTGTGCCCCTGAACTCAGGGCCTGAGCACTGTCCGCTCTGCGCGCCCCAGCCCCCAGCGGAGCACGTGCCCTAGTTAGAGCAGATGTGCCCCCTAAGCGGCCCAGCCCCCTGCTCCTCCCCTCCAGATGTTCACCCTTTTCCTCACCACCGGCACTGCCGGGTCTCGGTAGAGCCCAGCAGAAAATGCCTTTTGTATCGGACACCCTAGGACTCCCGAGTATGGGAGATGGGTCCTGGGGGTGAAGGGACCACTTCCGTCCCCACCTCCAGGCACTGCACGGTCCGGGAAACAATGCCCACCTTGGCCAGGCGAGGTAGGACTTCTTGGGGACAGCACTTCCCGCCCGGCTCGCTCCGGGCCTTGGGCACCCTCTTCACAGCACCCTGGTGGGGAGACGGAAGGGACCTCCTCTCGGGCCCCTCGGTCCGAGGTGGCCCCACAAGTTCCCGGAGGACGGCGCGGGGTACCCTCCCCGGGGGAGCGCGCCCGGCCCGGGCTCCGGCTTTGTCCTCGCGCCCTCGGGGCGCAGCCCGGGCGGCGGCGCGGGGAGGCCGGGCGGCGGCGGCGGCGGGCTCACCTCTCATTGTCCGCAGCGGAGGCGGCGGCAGCGGCTGCGCTCCGGAACCCCGGCAGGATGTGGCGGAAGCTGTGGTTGCGGTCCAGCTTGGGCTGGCTCTTGGTGCGCTTGATGGAGCCCTTGAGGCGGCGGCTGAGGAAGCCCTGCGCGCGGGGCGACAAGAGGGGGAAGGGGAGGCGGGGTTAGCGCGTGGTGGCGGCGGCGGCGCGCGGCGGGCCGGGGACCCGCACCCTCGCTGGGCGGCCGCGCGCCGACGGCGGGCCGGGCTCGGGCTCGGCCCCAGCAGCTCGCGGCCCGCGCCGCCGCCTGCCCGCCCGCCGACCGAGCGCCGACGGCCCGGCCCGCGTTGCGCGGCCCAGCCTACCCCGCGCCGCCCGCCGGCCGGCCCAGCCCGCCTCGTCGCCCCCGCCCCCTAAGCCGCTGTTGCTATGGCGACGCCGAGTCGAGCCGCGCCGACAGCAGCCGAGGCCACCCGAGCCCCTCGGCCGCCGGGCGGGCGGGGCAGCGGAGGGGGCGGGGCTGTGGAGGGGCGGGGGTCCCCCGGGGGGCTGGACATTTATCTGCCCCTCACCTCTTCGCGGCCTCTCAGCTGGTCCTCTCGCAACAAAGTCTCACCCCCACCCACCTGAAGGAATCCACGCCCTCCCCCGCCCCGTCGAGGATTGACAAGCGCCTTTCTCCACCTGCGCGGTCGTTGCTCTCAGTCCCTGTTGCAGAGATGGGGGAAACTAAGGCTGAGAGCAGGCGCGTGGTCCTCTGAGAACCAGCCGGCCAGCGTCTAGCAGTCCTCTGGTCACCTTACCCCAACCTTGGCGGCAGTCGTTGGCTGTCTGGGTGGAGCCTGAAACAGTTGTACCCCAGGAGGGCAACCACCTTAGGACAGGATCTCTAGTGCCCACCTTAGGAGGGCCTAAGGGAATGAAGGCTTCCTGAGTATACTCATTGGGTGATACTTCATAGATTCACAGTCTACCCTGGACTCTGCGGCTAGGGCTTAAAACTCCACCCCACCCCCCAAGAGCAGCGGGGAGGAACCAGGAGGAGAAGGAGACAGGCCTTCAATACACAGGTTGCAGCGCTCCATTGACAGGTGATGAGTAGATATGGGGACTCAGGGGACCACAGCTGGGTCCTGCTGGGCTTGGAACCTGCAGGCAGCTTGAGGGAGGAAAACTGGGGGAGAAGTTGAAGGAGGACACCCTGTTGGAGGAGGACTTCTCTGGGAGGGGCTCTAGGACTCACCCACCACTGCCTCAAATCCAGGTGATCCAAGGATAGAAGATATTAACTTATTTTGAAGTTAGTGTTGTACATAAATCTGAATAGCACATTTCATCTATCACACAATTAAGGGTGAGCTTGGCAACCCTCTCTAGGTGCAGGGGGAGGGGACACTTGCTGCAGACCATGCTCTGTGCTGCTCATGTCCATCCCTGTGGCCCCAGCACCATGCATGACAAGATCAAACACTGGCTATATAAGTCATCTCATGCCACCAACACAACAGAAAATGACAGGAAAACTTTATTTGCAAATGAAGCCTTGCTCAGAGAGGTAAAATGGCTTTATCCAAATACACCCAGCTTTCAGAACTGCCAGAGTTTTCCCCACAAGGCACCCCTCTTTGCCCATGTCTTTGAATTTTCCCTTTTCCTCTCCTTTTCTCTCTACTTTTTCCTCCTTCTCAACCTCTCACATCCATAGAAGACATATCCCTGTGGTTGGTTACCTGTCAGCATTCTACACATCCTCCAAGGCCCACTTGAAATGCCACCTCACCCAAAAGATCTCCCAGGTAGTGGAGTCCAAATGCATCTAACCTCTGCAGCCTATATTACTGTCAAGTTATTCAAATCGTTGCAGCTTGCAAATATCTTTTGGCATACAGGGTGACCCAAAGACATGGCAATGCAGACTAAGGGGAGTACTAGGCTCTTGAGAGACACCATGAAGGCAGAGACCCACACCTCCATGTAAGCTTTAAGCTGCCCCAACATCAGCGCCACCTGGCTAACCTACATGGGCTCCCACACAGGTATTGTGTCAAGCAAATTCCCCCAGCAGGCTGGTACTTTTCTTGGTTTTTATTTTCACACTGATGAAATTTTCACAATTTTTAAGCTCTTATGGTGTGAAGAACCACACGGCATGTTTCACAATTTATGAAGCTCATTTTGTAGCAATATTGACAGCTTGATCCTATTTCTGAGTTTTAAAAAAGAAGTCCTCTCCCCTCTAGAAGAGTGGGTAGAACATGTGCCACTTCCTCTTCCCCTCTCCTCCCCTTAAAGCTCAGACACCCAATGCTCCTCTGACAGCAGCCTCCTCTTGAAACCCACTTTGAAGCTACCTCCCCCCCAAACCAGCAATGTCCTTGGGACTCGGTACTTTCTATAATAGTCACTCATTCACCTTATTAAAAGCCTCATATACTAGGCACAGGGACCACAACAGGCATGGACACTACAGGGTGAGCAATGTCTACATTTCCAAGATGCCCAGGAGCTCAGATCATGGGGAAAGTGATTTTTCAGGGGAACAGAAAGGGCTCCAGGTGACCTCCACCATCCCACACCTCTGCCCTAGAGACCTTGTGTACCCCAGGGAACCCATCTCAGGGCCCTGTAGACTCATCATCCTTGAAGGAGACTCAGATCCAAAAGGCTGCATTACTGAGTGCGACTAAGGCCCAGAGAGGGGAAGGGGCTTCCTCAAGGTCACACAGCAAGGTTAATCAAGGACCTCAAACTCCAGCCCCTGCTCTGCCCAGACTTACAGATTACTCTCCTTCCTGGGGCTGGAAGGCCCACCAGGTGGATCCTCACCCTGTCCTGCATGAAGAAAGATAGCCTTTTCGTCCCTTCTTGGGCAGCAGCTTCAACCCTGAACTTAGAAAGTGGCTGAATGGTGTTCAAATAAAATCTTACTCTAGGCAAAACTAATCAAACCCACAGCTCTCTCTCTCCTATGTGCTTGCCAGGCAGGTGCTCTACCATTTGAGCCACACCTCCAGCCCAAAACTCTTATTCTAGCCCCAAGTCAAGGGGCTAGAAGTATATCTACTCCTGCCTAGCATGTATGAAGCCCTGGGTTCAACCTCCAGCTCTTGGGGAAGGGGTGTGAAACCACAAGTCAACCTTTAACAGAGTAGCAGTTGGCAAATCATGTCCCTTCTCTCAGTTAAAACAGAGTTCTTGATGTCCACTTTCTGGGCTGCCCTGGGGCCTGCTGATACAGCCCAGTATCTGAGAACTGAGAGGTACAAGCAGACATTCAGGGCTCCAACCCTGCTTCAAAGACTGGTCCCTTTGCCTTGGAGCTGACAAGCAAGACCACTGACCTCTCTGTGAAATGGGTGGGGCTGCAGTGAGGATTAGATAGGACAGATAACGCTGTTGTGGCTCTAGGCTCAGAGTGTAGTGTACAGTAAGTGCTCAACAAAAGCCAAACATTATTCTCACTCCCGATTTCCACACAAATGCCCAGGCTTGTTTGCAATGCCCTCCCTGGCCATCCCCCAGGCTCTGACCCCTTAGCCATACTACCACTTCCCCATCCCTCTTACCCACCCTCTCCTGGAGGCTGCCTCCCCACCCCCCCAGTACAGCAGCTCAAGCTCTCACACAGCACCTGGGTTCAATTCTTTTTTTTTTTTTTTCTGATGCTCACTGTGTAGCCCAAGCTGGCCTCAAACTCACAATCCTCCTGCCTCAACCTTTCGAGTACTGGGATTACAGGAATGTGCCACCAAGCCTGGGTTCCTGGGTTCAATTTTTAATTCAGACAACCTATAGGCAAAATTAGTAGGCTTCTCTGAGCCTCAGTTTCTCCATCTATAAAAACATGCTAATGATATGATACCTACTTTATGGATTGTGGGAAGGGTTAAATAAGATCAGACATCACCAGAAAGACAGTAAACATCTAATGCAACCACACACAGCAGCTGCTAGCTTTATTATCACTATTACTGAGGTTGTCTCCACTACAGCCACCTTTTTTTGTTCCAAGGGGTAAGTAACCACCGTGGGCAGGAGTCTATCTGGACTCTCCTAGGACCCTGAAGGCCTCCTGGTAGTGGGGACAGGGACATGAATGAATGTGCTTGCAAAATGACCTTAGAGACACAGAGTGACATCCAGTTTGGAAGTTTTGAGCTCTTTTTAACAAGCACTTTCTTCTAAAGCAACCTCACAGAGACTCCCTGTGTGCACTGTGCAGGGGCGGGCAGGGCTGCTCAGGTGAGGCCTCGGCTTTCATCCTAGGGAGCAGGGACTGAAGTCTAAAGCACAGTGAGCAGCCTCATAGTCCACAGGGACAAGCCTGCTCCCTCCCAGACAGGCTCCCCGCCTCCATTAACGCAGCAGGCAGCTGTGCCACTGTGCTGGTTTCAACTAAGGCCCCAGGGCTTTCGAACAGGCTTTTTCCCAGACCTTGCCTGACAGCTGGGTGTGGCACCTGTGAGGCTTCTGTTGCCTCTGTGGATGGCCCTCACCTGGCCAGACACCTCCTGATACACAGGCCCCCTATGCATCTCTCTCTATCACAGACCAAGGCACAAGCCATACCTGAGACGAAGACAGAAGCCTGTGGGGCCTTTGGCTGGAAGGACTGAATCCTTAAAGAGCCCCCAGTTCCGGCCACTCCCCCACCATCCAGACATCCAGCCCACACCCTGTTCCTTCTCCAGGAGGCTCTCAGTCTTGCTCAGAGGACTCTCAGAATTCCAGACACACAATTGATTCCTTCATTCACCCATTTCAATCAATTCCAAGTGATGATGATGATGATAAATGACCAGCTATCAAGCTCCTGTTCTGCCAAGTCGCTGTGTCCGAGAAAATTCACTGTACACTTCCCACCCCAGGAGGCTTGATACCTCTACTCAGAGTCCTTGGGAGGACACGAGCTTCAGCTACAGAATGTTTGGGGTTTTCAGGATAGGAAGTGGAGGCTCGGCAAAGTTAAGGCACATGCTGAAAGTAGCAGAGCTGTCACGTGCAGAGCTGGGACTGGACCCAGGAGAATTCTGCCACCTGAGTGGGCAGGATGGGGACACCCTCCCCCACATATGAAACTAACAGCTAGGATCATCCTCTCCACACAGGACCCAGGCAGAAGGAAAGGTATATATCACCATGGG